TGCACTTGGCCCCTGGTCGAGGACTTGCTCCCTCACTCTGCACTTGGAGCCAGAACTCTCAATCCTCCACCGAGAGGAAATGTCCATCCAGTAAGTATCTCTGGGAGGTGTTTTTTTTTTCTTTTTTTTTTCTTAAAGATTTTATTTATTTATTTGAGAGAGAGAGAATGAGAGATAGAGAGCACGAGAGGGAAGAGGGTCCGAGGGAGAAGCAGACTTCCTGCTGAGCAGGGAGCCCGATGTGGGACTCGATCCCGGGACTCCAGGATCATGACCTGAGCCAAAGGCAGTCGCTTAACCAACTGAGCCACCCAGGCGCCCCTCTCTGGGAGGTGTTTTTAAACGCCTTAGTGGGTCGATGGTAAATGGGCTATTTCAAGAGGTCCTGAAGAGGATTGATGGCCTGCTTATGGGAGGCCACCTCAGGTCTTGAGGGGAGAATTTCTTCCTATTTACATATTGAAGCAAATATCTAGAATTGGGGTGTAAATTACTGTGGGATTTTTGTGAATGGGCCTTGAAAACAGTTGTGAGCATGATGTTGTGATGAGGCTGGCCTAGGTTGCAGCCATTTCCTAGCTGTGTGATTTTGGAGTTAACCTTTCATAGTCTACGATTTTCTAGATATCAAATGAGCATAAGAGCCATATTTTCCCCATTGTGGTACTGTGACATTTAAATGAGCTAAGAGCATACAAAATTCTCCTTATGGTGTGTGGCACATAGTAAGTGCTTAATGAAAGATAGCTCTCATAATTAAGGAGTCTGGTCAGAGTCCCCACTCTAAGAAGTTATAAAATGAAGCCAAAGTGAGGAGGTAAGAAATAAGTAAAAATATGAAACCTGAATCTCCTAGTCAGCCTATTTTTAAAGAGAACCATAGCTCTTGGAGATTGGCGAAGAAATAGGATGATAGGAAGAGATGATGGTATAATATGGGTGAATAACAGAGTGAGTTACTGACCCAAAAAGCTGTCATCTCCCAACTCTTGGAGGGAGAGGGATAAGGAAAGAGAATCAATGATTCAGTGCACTTAGAGTAGCGACAGGACAGGGTAATTCTGGGGGAAGACAAGTGATAGCAGCAGGATTAATGGATTTGTCATCAGAAATGTGGGAAGACTGCAGAGGGCAGAATTAAGTTCACTGTGACATTAAAAGGGGGAAATTGGAAGGGGAGACAAACCATGAGAGATGATGGACTCCAGGAAACAAACTGAGGGTTTTAGAGGGGAGGGAGGTGGGGGATGGATGAGCCCAGTGATGGGTATTAAGGAGGGCACGTTTTGCATGGAGCACTGGGTGTTATACAAAAACAATCATGGATCACCACATCAAAAACTAATGATGTATTGTATGGTGACTAACATAATATAATAAAATAAATAAAATTTTAAAAAGAGAGAGAGAGAGAAAATAAATAAATAAAAGGGAGGTCATTTCCCCTGACATCAAAAGTAGAGCACTGACCCAGCACCCACCTGCCCCCACTAGGAAACCTGAGGACATTTCTGTCACCCGCCCAAGCAAAGGCTAAACTGGCAGTGGTGCTCTGACATTGAACCAGAGAATGCTTTTTCTCCTGGAGCTCTGCCTCTGTCTCAGGGGACTTCTCTGAGTATCAACGTGGGCTTCTTCCCAATTATTCCACCTTTTCAGAGTTGAACATCCTGCTGGTGGTTACAAGAAACTGTTCGAAACTGTGGAGGAACTGTCCTCACCGCTCACAGCTCATGTTACAGGTTGGTCTCACCAGTCTTGAAAGCATCTTCTCTATTTTTGTCAAGATCCCTCTTCTCTGGCTTTTTATTCATTGGCATCTCTCAGTGGTGGTTCCCCCTGTGGGCTCCAGAGAGGGGAATCTGGAGGTGTGGGCCTTTTCTGCCAGAAACCCATTTCCTCTCATTTACCTTTTATTTCCCTAATGGAGAAACATGCTGTCTAAGTGGAATTCCTTAAGGACTGGGACTACATCTTTTGTCATCTTGAAATTGTCAGTGCCTAACTCAGTACCTGGCACATAGTCAGTTTCCTAGAAATGTCTGTTCCATTATCTTCCAGTGTCTGGATAAGTGAGGACCAGGTGACAAGCATCTGGAAATATTACAATAAAGGGTGGTAGGTTTCATGCCTGTTGTATTGCTTCTGGAATCAGACAGATGTGGTGATAATTGCAGCTAATTGCAGCTCCATTATTTTACTAGCTGGGAATCTTACGAGTTACTTAAACTTTCTGAGTTTCAGTTCCCTTACCTATCAAAAACCAAACTTTCCCTCATGGGGATATTGTGAAGATTGAGTAGGATTACTGAAAGATTCACCTAGTGTCCAAAATAAAGCAGCCACTAAGTGGTTGTTTATTATTACTATTGTTAGCATTATCCAAAGACATCACGTGACCCATACGTCATCCTTGCTTGGAATGGCAAGTCTCTTTCCTCCCATTTCCTCTTCTGTAAAATAAAAGGGAGAAGCTAAATGTTCTCTCTCAGCTAGATTCTGATGCTAACAATTCAGGTTCTAGCAATCAAATGTATGTTGTGTCATTAGTTAAGTCATGCCTTCTTAAAGGTTTTATCAGAATTATACATTCTTATGAAGCAGGCTGCTGAAATGGAACTGCAGGAAATAATCCATTTGTTTAAAAAAAATTTGTAAGGATTAAGCAAACACTACACTTTCCAAAGGATACAAGGGCACAGACCTAACTGCTTAAACTGAAAGGCCTTATGGCTTTTGTTGTATACCCCTCATTTTGCAGATGAGGACACTGAGCCCCAGAGATGGCATGTGGCAAATCCTGAACCAGAATCCAGGTCTCTGACAGCCAGCCCTGTGCAATTTCTCCTTCAGGAGGTTAATCACCTGGACAGTAGCCCATAACCTCAAAGGAATAGGTTTTAAAAAGCCAGTATTCTTGTTGCCATTTAGATGGCTTCTTCTATAGAAACACCTTTTTTTTAGCGTTTTGATCCTTATTCCTAATCCATCTTTCCTACCCCTCACTCCATCAAAATACATCAAGAAATTTGAAATTCTTAAAAGTGAGATGGTAAAAAGGCAAATATGTTGGTGTCTGGGGAAATCTGTTAGGTGCAGAGTCCCATTGTCCTCCCATTTCCTCCAGAGTTCCTAGGTGCTTTTCCTTGTCTTTGTCCCACCAAACCCAGGCATTGCAACGTTTCCCACCACTTGGTCTCCTAGCAAAAGGGGAGTCAAGTCAGCAAGCATTTTGTAAGGGCCGCCCAGGGTGAGAGCTGGGAATGAAAATCACTATCAGCATTACAAAGAGGCTGCCCAACTGAGGGGCTAAGATAATCACCACCCCTTGCTAGGGATGTGCCCAGCAAAGGGCAGGGGTAAGAAACAATGCTCTATGTCTCACCTTCATCACAGGCAGGATCCCCCTCTGGCTCACTGGCAGTCTCCTTCGATGTGGGCCAGGACTCTTTGAAGTTGGATCTGAACCATTTTACCACCTGTTTGATGGGCAAGCCCTCCTGCACAAGTTTGACTTTAAAGAAGGACATGTCACATATCATAGAAGGTAAAGAATGCCAGGTCCCACTCCTCCTGGGGGTGGGGCCTAGCTTAGCTCCTCCTCCTACATGTTTCTCAACCTCTTGAACCCAAGAGGCGACTTCTAGATTTGCTTCCTCTCAGAATCAACTGACCCATGGCCTTTTGCATAGATACCTGGGAGCTGTGCGATGATAAAGAAGAACTTAAGGACTAGGGCTTTCGGGCCCAACAGGCCAGCTTCAAATTCTACATCTACCAAACGCCACTTGCCTAAATGGGCAACCTTTGGCAAGATGTTAATCTCTAATTCTTGGTTTTGTCATCTCTAAAATTCTACTTCAGGGGTCATTACAAGGATTAAATGAAGTACCTGGAAAGCATGCAGTAATAATAAGTTGCTATTATTATAGTTATTGTTATAATTATTAGACCACTGGTTCTCTTGACTCTTTTTTTTTTTTTTTAATAATCAGAAAGGCCCCTGGGTAGGAGGGAGGGGTGGCACAGAGAGGGAAGGGCCAAATTATGTCATAATGATACAAGAAAGATGTTTCCTTTTTTCTTTTTTTATCACTATTCAAAATGTTTTTCCTTTTTTTAATTTTATTTTATTATGTTATGTTAGTCACCATACAGTAGATCATTAATTTTTGATGTAGTGTTCCATGATTCATTGTTTGCTTATAACACCCAGTGCTCCATTCAGTACATGCCCTCTTTAATAACCATCACCAGGCTAACCCATCCCCCCCACCCGCCTCCCCTCTAGAACCCTCAGTTAGTTTCTCAGAGTCCACAGTCTCATGGTTCATCTCCCCCTCTGATTCCCCTCCCTTCATTTTTCCCTTCTTACTTTCTTCTTTTTTTTAACATATAATGTATTATTAATAAGTTTTCTAAGAACAGAAGATTGTTGCAAAAAGGCCCCGAGGTCTAAGCCTTCAGTCCAAGTATCCATTAACACAACAATAAATTGCTTTTGCTTTAATAGTCAGATCCGTTAGAGGCTTTGTTGATCACCACAGGTATCAGGAATTCTGAAGAGACACCAAAAGGAAGAGCAAATGAAGGTTTGCTATAGTCAGGATAACTCAAGACTGTAATAGAAGAGAAATAGATCAGGTCAAGCACAAATTTAGCTAAAGTCCGACGAAGCTTTCATATGCCCCCTAAAGACCTTGGTACTTTTTCCTCTTCTTGACTTTGTTTCTTCATTCATGAAATTTTAAACTTTATTATATGCATTGGAAGAAATGCAAAATCAGATTTTAATTGGCTTTCTACATGAGAAATCCTAGGCAACGTATGGGATATGGTTGCGGAGTTCTGTCTGTGCAAGATACTGGATTCAAGAACACCTACTTTTAAAACTAGCAAAATAAATTTTTAAATCGAAGAAAAAAACCAAGAGTGACATAAGGGAGATTGAAAGGAATATAATTCGGCACACCATGTTCTGTATTTCTCCATTCAGTGTTAGGTTGATATGTTACAGGCTACAGGAAGTCAGAGGTCCTATGTGAACCACCCATGGAGGCTGCATAGTGTGATATGGAGAAATGCACCTTTCCTGGCCCTGGCCAACTTGAGTTCTAATCCAGCTCCATCACATATGTCAATGGCTTAACTTCTCTGCTGGACATGACAAGTCCAAGCCATGAGCTTCAATTTCCTCATCTGTCATTGTGAGGTTTATAAGACATAAACTTAAGCTCATAGCACGTTGTCTCTTTCTCTCTTAGTCACTCTGAGAAAGTGACCTGACAATACTCCTCATTCTTCATGTTGTGGATTTATGGTTCCAACTTGTTAAGGACACACGGAACGACCATTCTCAGCTCCATATGGACCACACTGATTGCCCGTGCCTATGACCCTTTCCCATGTCTCCGTGTCCTTCAGGTTCATCCGCACTGATGCTTACGTCCGGGCAATGACTGAGAAAAGAATCGTCATAACGGAATTTGGCACCTGTGCTTTCCCAGATCCCTGCAAGAATATATTTTCCAGGTTACTGAAACTTGACTGCATGTTATTAAAGACATTTTACATTAGCCCTTTTCTCTCACGGCTTGAAAGTTACTGGACTGAAAAATCCATTTGCTTCTGCAGGTTTTTTTCTTACTTTCGAGGAGTGGAGGTCACTGACAATGCCCTTGTTAACGTCTACCCAGTAGGGGAAGATTACTATGCCTGCACAGAGACCAACTTCATTACAAAGATTAATCCCGAGACCTTGGAGACAATTAAGCAGGTAGGACACAATGCTCAGGCAGTATTGCTCGAGAAGTTAGAATGTGCAGTTTAGAATTAACTGCAATTTGGGGGAAAGAACATGAGAGCCAGATAGATTTTCACCTCCTTGCTTTGTCATCAACAATTAGCTATGTGACACAGGGCAAACTTTTGTTTCTTCCTCTATGAAATTTTAAACACTTATTATATGGGTTGGAGGAAAACCTTATTGCCTAACATATGTGTTCATTCATTTGTGACACAAACTGAGTCCTTGCCATGTATCAGAATTTATACTAGGTGCAAAGGATCTATCGATAGGTAAAGACAACCTGGGTAAGACAAAAACTTGGAATAAGTTGTTTAGCTAATGGGAAGCTACTGGCAGTTTTTGCTTGGAGAAATGGTGTAAGCAGAGCTGTGCTTTAGGATACTTAATCTGGAAGCCATGCATAAACTATATGGGAGAACACAAGAGATAAGGGATAGCTAGGAGACAAGTTAGGTGGAATTTAAGAACCAGAACTAGAAATTCAGTGTAGTAGAAATAGAAAGGAAAAATAGTCCCAACCCTAGGTCTCAATGTCACTAGCTAATTTATAATTCTCAGCAGACTATTTACTAAGGCTTAACATATCCTCTTCAATAGCTCTTTCTTGTTTTTGATGTATGTCTGTAATTGTATAAGGGTATGTGTTAGATAATTTGGAGAAGAACTGAAACTGAATTCTAAACCATTCATTTAACTCTGATGAGTGAATCTGTACTCAAATTGCTATGGTACTATAACTGCAAATGTAAAGTTCATGTATGGCTCACGGCTCGAAAATAGCCTTTATTAGGGGGTCAAGTTTCATTGTATCAGTGTGCCTTGACTTCATATAAAAATATAGTTTCAAAACTTGATTTTTTTATTACTATTACTAAAATAGCCTCCTAATCAGTGCCTTTGCCTCCAGCCTGATTCTCTTAAATACAACGTCCCTAATTCAGTAGAAGCAATTTTTCTAAAATACAAGTATAAATGTGTTACTCTATCTGAGGCACCCACATTTCCCAAGATAAAGTCCAAACAGGACATTGTGGCTGACTGGTTCTTATTTCTCCTCCTCCGTGCATGCCTTTCACAGATTACAGACTCGTAATCCCCAAACAGCACCTACTATTTCACAATTCAATGCTTGTACGTTAGGGTTCCCACTCCCTGAAACACCTGTCATCCTTCTCCACCTGGCTAACTTTTACTTGTCTTTCAAGCATTAGTTGGAGTCATTGCCCTTGGGAAGCCTGGTCTAATCTCCCAGTCTGGGTTAGATGACGCTTCTCTACAGATACCATTTTGCATTTACCAGCAATGCACTATATTATATACCAGCTTATTGGTCTAACAGTACTATAAAATAGAACTTTCTACAATGACGGCAGTGTTCTCTAGGTGCATTCTCCAAGTGCTACTGAGTACCTGAAATGTGGCTAATGTGACTGAGGAACTAAATTTAAAATTTTATCTAATCAAAATCAATCCACATTAAATTACATGTGGCTACCATTTTGGGCAGCACAAATCTAGAGTGAATTCTTGACCCTGGTATAGTAATAATAGAAGTTCAATGAGTACTTGATGAATGATCGAACGAATGAATGTCTTACTTGTTATTTAAATAAGAATACTAAAAACTCCCTTTAAAACATATTCTCCTAATCAAATAGAAAGAATTTTGGTTAAATATATACCTCATCAATTATTCATTCAATAAATCTGTACTGAGCAAGTCATGGTAGAAATTCTAGTGCTGATTTTGCCAGTGTGTGGCTCTGTATCCTTGAAAAAAATCACTTGACCTCTCTTAGACCTCAATTTCTCTTTCTGTACACAGAGAGATTTATGCTAGATTTGTGATTCTGAATTTCTTATGAGACTCCAAATTGAATTAAAGCGCTAAATCTTTTCTCCAAAACATTTGCATTTAATTCCAGGAGATTCATGGTTCTCCTGAAGTCTATTTAGGTTGACTCTGTACTAAATAGAATTCTGGGGTTTCTTTCAGTTCCAAATTTATACTCTGTGCAAGCCACTGGATTTGGTATTTAGGTTATACTATACAAAGTGGCCATTTTTGTAAAATAAAAATTATTGTATATGTCAGCAATTTCACACAATTCATCTAATACAATAGGGGAGATATAAAGAAATCCCAGGAATCACATTATCAGTTTGAGAACAATCTGCATGTGCAAAAGGAAAGTAACTAACCAGAACCGAGTATGGTATACACTGAAGAACACAGTCAAGAATCTCCAAGATTTCAGAGGCTTGGGGCTCAGCATGAGGGTCAGAGGAAAGCTGTGCACTGAAAATAGGAACTCAGGCAGACTTGAAATAGGGTAGAACCCAGAAAGACGGAAAGAAAGAGAAAATGCATTTTGGGTGAGGATGCAAGTGGTAGCAGTAAGGTCAGACCTAGAGACCACGGGGTAAAACAGCGTTTCTCTTTACACGGATGACATCTGTTCTCCTTCCATAGGTTGATCTTTGCAACTATGTCTCTGTCAATGGAGCCACTGCTCACCCCCATATTGAAAGTGATGGAACTGTTTACAACATTGGTAATTGCTTTGGGAAAAATTTTTCAATTGCCTACAATATTGTAAAGATCCCTCCACTACAAGCAGGTCAGTTTACCAATTTGACTCTTCTTAAAACAAGTATCTATATTGTGAGAAAATTCCCGGAAATGGGATTACCAGATCAGAATATCAGGATAACATTATAGATGCACAGTTAAATTACTTTCCGATTGCTCTACCAGGGACCAATGCCCAGAAGCACGGTAGCAGAAAATGACGACTTGAAAATATAGAAAGCAAGCGGCCAAATCATATTCTACAATGTTTCAAAAATGTAGTGTATATGAGTATTTGCTCATATAAGAGTTAGATTCAAATTCAGGAAATACTTATTGAGCCCTTATTCATGTTCCAGGCAAAATTAAATTTTTAAACAAACATATGCATATGCATCATAGCACACACACATACATGAGAGGGTACTACGTATTCTGTGTTTTTAATTCCCAAAGCCACAAACAAATCTATTAACTCATATTAATATTATAGAGAAATAATATTAAAACAGAAAAGAGAGTACTCTTTAGAATTCTCCATTCATCCTCCATTCACTGCCAGAAGTTTGATAACCATCTTGGCGACAGAATTATTTGAATACATATAGATTGAATATATATATATATATTTGAATATATATATATATTTGAATATATAGTTTAGTATTGCATAGCATGGATCTCAAGGTGTAGTCCCTAGACCGGCAGCATCACTTGGGGAAGCCGCTAGAAATCCAGAGCCCCACCAGTGGTTGACTGAAGGAGGAATTCTGGGTGTGGGCCCACGATTACTCTTTTGAGACGCTCTTTATGTGATTCTGATGCACACTAAGGTTTGAAGACCACTAACATAGTAGGAAACAAACTTTACTGTGCTTAAGAATTACTGTACAGAACTAATGAGACAAACCCACATATACTTTACAGGTAACTTAAGGGATTACAAAAGGCATTTTCATCATACTACATTTTTGCCTTACTCACTGACTTAGCACCTACCACCTCCAGTTGTTAAGATGGGACCCCACGGTCCTCTGCCTGCCACAACACTGAGCACACGTTTCCAAATCTGCTGCTGTTTGGATTTTCCTGGGTGACTGTAGCTCCACGTGAAATTTCCCTAAGAAATGCCAATGACTGAGGAAAGGAAAATAAGCCCTAAAAAAAAAAAAAAACCAAGATCTGAAAATGTATTTCTTTACTTGCATAAGCTGTTCTAAATGCTTTGTATTAAAAGAGGGAAAAAAAAGGCTTTTCCAAAGCCTTTTAAAACCGCTTTATTTCAGACAAGGAAGATCCAATAAGCAAGTCAGAGGTCGTTGTACAATTCCCCTGCAGTGACCGATTCAAGCCATCTTACGTCCATAGGTAACTTGAAGGCCTGCTATGAATCTTCAGGAAAACTCAAGTTTAAAGATCTGCTTTGCCTACCTTTGATACCAATCCTGATCACGACATTTTCTTGCAGAAACCTAAATTTAAATGTAATTAATCTCATGTAGGCACTGTTGATTCATACCTCATGTGCACATATTTCTTTGTGGTTTGAGAATCGGCCCTACCCATTCACAAGTCTATTTGTGCTTCTAAACAGTTTTGGTTTGACTCCCAACTATATTGTTTTTGTGGAGACGCCAGTCAAAATTAACCTATTCAAGTTCCTTTCTTCATGGAGTCTTTGGGGAGCCAACTACATGGATTGTTTTGAGTCCAATGAAACCATGGGGGTAAGTTGTGCATCTGTCAAGTTTATGATTCCAAAGATGTTTCATAATGTATAATGTTTTCCTTTTTAAATGCATCAAAATATTCTCCTCACTTTTCAAGGTTTGGCTTCATATCGCTGACAAAAAAAGAAGAAAGTATCTCAATAATAAATACAGGACCTCTTCTTTTAATCTCTTCCATCACATCAATACTTATGAAGACAATGAGTTTCTGATTGTGGATCTCTGTTGCTGGAAAGGGTAAGAAAGGACACTGGATAATGTTACATCTCCCAGTCATGCCTAGAAATTAGGGGCCATTTTCAGAGATGCTGCTCTCAATATTTAATATGAATTACAGCTAAAAAAAAGCAAGAAGTGTGCTTAAGTCACAGAATATAATTGAAAAAGCAGTAGGGAGGCTAGGTAATCAGAAGCAATCATAAACTGAACATCAAACCCTGGTTAATTATTGAAAACTGATCAGGTCTATGAACCTGATCTGAAAATAAAAGGTGCTATGCCCTGATAAGTAAATTTAAACTTAACCTCACTGCAACTTGACGAGTTCCCCTGTGGGGCCTTGAACTCCACCCACTCTGGGTTTGGAAGAATGAGGCACGCTTTCTTGAGAATACCAAGTCACTTAAAAAGATAGTAGCCCATAAAGACACAGGATGATGATGGAGAAACAGAACAGAAAGTATCAAAAGCTGCTCTTATGTAAACATACTGGTGAGGCAGGTTTCTTTGTTTTGTTTGTTTTTCATGCAGCATGGACAGGAGGAAATGGCTCTAATATACTTGGGTCATTAGCAGTTTCTGGGTTGGAGAATAAAAAAACAGGCAGGTTGGAGCGCCTGGGTGGCACAGTCGGTTAAGTGTCCGACTCTAGGTTTCAGCTCAGGTCCTGATCTCAGGGTTGGTGGAAGCGAGCCTGACCTCAGCTCTACGCTCAGCACAGAGTCTCCTTAAGACTCTCTCTCCCTCTGCCCTTCCCCCCTACCCCTACCCCCTACACCGTGCTTGCTCGCCTGTTCTCTCTCTAAAATAAATAAATAAATCTTTAAAAAAAAAAAAAAAAAAAAGGCCATACAGAATAGGCAGGCAGTTGTTCTTTTAAAAGGCATGGATCATCTCTCTGAAATTATCTGCAATTGTCTGTGCTCATGTCTGACTTCTTACTTTTGCAGATTTGAATTTGTTTATAATTACTTATATTTAGCCAATTTACGTGAGAACTGGGAAGAGGTGAAAAAAAATGCCAGAAAAGCTCCCCAGCCTGAAGTGAGGAGATACGTGCTTCCTCTGAATATTGACAAGGTAACTGCCCTCTACACAGATTTCAGATATATCCAGATTTGTTCTCCTGCCTTATGTTTATACATAAAATCTTGAAATTTCAAAGCTGGAAGGAACTTTAAAAATACACTAATTCAACTCCCCTCAAGAAACTAGAGCTCAGAAGAGTGATATGACTTAGCAAAAGCCAACTGCAGCAGAGCCAAAATGAAAACCAGGTTTTGATGCGCTGTTCTTTCATTTGCAAAATCCTTTCAAAATATATTTTCTCAGTGAATAGTGCAGACCACTGATTCCTAGGATCCTCTGTCAATAATATAAATAATTTAATTTAAATAATTTGAAATTCTAAAGAAATGAAGCATTAAAAAGTACCCCTTTAGGGAAATCAGCCCATTATTTTGGTTTTCTGCAAATCTTCTAAAAATGTCAATAGAGGACAAACATCATTAATAGCCTTTGGCAGTCATCTTTTTATTTCTACTTTTTCTTCTTTGTATTCAGTGGCTGTCTTTTTAGAATATTAGATTAACATCGAGAAGTTTTTGTGTAATAGAATGCCAGTCAAAATCAAGACAAATAGAATTTTCACAATAGATACATGAGCATACACTGCCATTTATGTTTATATGAGATATATACACAAAAGTGGGTAAGGCAGCTACACGGCATATAAAACATTGTACTCAAAACTAGATCAAATATAGTGGAAAATAAACCCAATTTAGAACCAGACACTACTGCTCTTAAGCAAGTATGTAAGCTCTATGAAGGATAAGAAAGGAGGAGGAAGTTGAGGTGGGGCATTAGGTAGTTAGGTAAATGAGCTTCTACAAAGGCAGGGAGGTTTAAAAGAGCAAAACTGAATATAAAAAAAATATAAAGTAGTTGGTGGAGCTGGTACATTGGGAGCAGAGGAGAGATGGGCATTGGGCAGAGGGACTGGAAAGAAGGTTGGAATGACATTGTATGGGGCTTTAAGCACTCTAACTTTGCCCTTGGGAAGCATATCTCTGGTACTTAGCTGAGTGCCCACAAAAATACCAAATGAATGAGTCCAATGATTTTAGTAAACTCTTATTTTACTAGTAATGAGAAAATCACAATCATCTTTAAATTAAGGAAGGAAGATCATTTAATTTGAATACCCCTTACCTCACTCTCTTCACATCCAAAAAGAGTTTAAGATTTTCATAAATGTGTAGTCACCACTGCCTGAAGAAAGACCACCCAATTATGAAATAGAGAACTTCAGTGATGAAAAAATGTCTAACGTCACCATAGACCCTGCTTTCACTCTCTCCCAATAGTTATGAATTAACCACTGTAACACGGCATCATACCAGTTCTTTCAGTGCGTACATCAATAGGATACGCTCTTGTTCTGGAACTCATTACCTAGTGTAGTAGGAAGAAGGAAGGTGACTTGGTAATGATAACACATGTTGGCAAGAGATAAGTAGTGGGAGGGAGGAATAAATTGCTTTGGCTATTCAGAGAATGGAACAGTCAGTCACACTTGAGAGATTCATGGAACACAGTCATTTGCAATATTCTGGCGGAAGAAATTGAAGCAGATCAACTTAAGACAGAAGGAAGAGTTTGAAAAAAGACAGAAGTGGGGAGGGGCAGAAGAGCAGAGGGAACTGACTGCAATCCAATTCGTTAGAACATAAGCATAAGTAGTGGAATAAATGGGGGGGGGGGGTAAAAAAAAGCTTAAAAATCAGACTTGTACTCTTCAAAAGCTTTAAGGCCAGGCCAAGAGGTTGTACTTTATTTGGCAGTGAAGGTTTCTGAACAGAAGAAAACCACGTTCAGAGCTGGTGGACTGGGTACCAAGTGGACTGACTTTCATGGTTTTCTCTTCTACTAAATGTCTGGTTTCCCCAAGCAAGTCACTCAATCACTCTAAGTTCAGTTGCCAGCTCTGAAACCTAACTAAATTGGACTAAGTAATGACTAGAATCATTTGCAGCTTCCAATAACGTGATTTTCTAAAATAAGTCTGTGTTGTGCATAAGTGATACTGGAAGTGTACAAAAGACAGAGATAGGACCCTGGTATAGAAGACAATTAAAATCACTCAGGTGAGAGAAAAATGTAGTGGTACTAGGAACAGGCAAACACAAAAATAAGAGTTCCTATAGGTAGAATTAAAAGGGTCTTGCGTTTGATTGGATGGCAGGATGAATTAAATCTTAGACATGCAAAATATCATAGAGATCCTGTAAGCCTATGTGTCTAGAGTGATACCTTTGGAAATAGGGAGTATAATGGGCAGAGCAGCTGTGGAGAAAAACATGAAGTGCAGAACTATGAGGAAGGGGAGGAAAATGGGTAAGGAGGTTGACTTCAAGTCATATACAGCCAGGCGTGAGTTTCAGCTCTGCCACGCCACTTACTAACTGGGTGATTTAACCTTAAATTTTCTTCTATCTATGAAGAGAAACATTTAACCTTCTTAAATTTCCTTTTCCTTATCTGTATCCATCTTACAGGGTTGTTGTGGCTGATACACGAGCTGATATATGTTAATTATTAAATACAGTCCTTGACACAAAGGAAATAATTAAATAAATATCCCCTATCATCATCAACAACAACAAAATCAGTACCAAAACATCTTCATGAAAGATGTCACATAGGCTTTCATATGTCAGTGAAGGACATGGTGAGGCCAATCAGGGTCAATAGGTTAACTGATGTTGAAATGATGATCAAACATATGAGAACAGATAGATGAGACTGCTAGCAGGGAAAAGTCATACTTTAGAATAAGTTTTCTAAAAAAGAAAAAAAAACATACACGGTTGCTTATTTTGAAAATGAAGAATTTGATAGCCCAGAAAATGCTAAGAGAAGAAAAGATGGCCAGGCACAGAAGTTTGGGAGGTCTCATGTACAGAAAATACAAAAAAGAGGAACCAGAAAGAGAGAGAGAGAGAAAAAGTCACCAAAGAGCCCTAGCTAGAGCTAAGAGAGGACAATCCCACATCAGATAGGGCAAGAGGATTTTATCAGTGCCCACTGTGCTATGGGCAAGTTAAAAAGGATGAAGACTAAAAGCCAAACACCAAATTTGGTGATCTCCAAGGGATGAGGGTGAGGGAGGCAGAAATCAGGATTCAAGGCACTGAAGGTGAGCAACTGGGAGGATAGGGGAGCAGTTATTGTAAGTCCACACTTTGAAAAATTTGGCAGTGAAGGGAAAAATCGGTCATCAGTTAGGAGAGGTAGGACTAAGGAGGGAAAAGGGTCTAAGATAAGTGAAGTTTCCAGTTTACTAATCAAGATAATGGTAATATCTTTAAAATATATCTTTATGTTTTTTTGAATAAGCTGTGCATTTAAATGGTCAAAAATCAAAATGACATGCAAAGTGGGAAATCTCACTCCACCCTCCTCCTGTATCTAGTCCATACCATCCCCGTTCACTTCCTATGTGAAACTTTTCATGTCTCTCCTTTTCTTTGGTTTGTTTATGCAAATATAAGAAAATATATATATAATTATTTCCCATTCTCATACACAAAAAGTAACTTTCTATATCCACTGTTTTGTGCCCTGCTTTCTTCATTTAACAATATATAGGCTAAAGATCTTGCTGTTTTCAACTGCACAGTATTCTTTCTGTGAACATACCCAAGTCCCTCACTGCTGCACAACAGAATTGTTTCCAATCTGGCTATTACCGATAATGTAATAAGGAATAACTTTCTATGTATGTCATTTCATACATGCACAGATATATGAATAGATTAGATCCTCAGAAATGAGATTTTGGGTTAAAGGAAAAATGCATCTGTTGAAAAAAAGGGGGGTGGGGAGTTCAAATGAGGAGCTAGTTTGTTGGGGAAAGCAAAAGTAATGTTACAGATTTCTTACATGAAAAATGTAATTTAGTAATAGAAAAAATAAGATAGAATGAAGATAATCAATTTAAACTTACAAGTATATAAATAATATGTCTGACGTAGGCATTTGATCTCTTCTTCTCCAAAACACCACAAAGTGCCGTGAGGCTCCATTTCACAAAATGTCATAAAATTCTCATGGTTTCTGTATTTGCTCCTTACCTCCTATCCCTTGCCTATCCTAAGAATCTTCTACTATTCCCTCTTAATTCACGATACACCCCCAGAAAAATCCCCTCTATCCTCTTCTCAGAATGTTCCTTTCACCTTCTATTATTTAAACCAAAACCTGGGGGCGCCTGGGTGGCTCAGTCATTAAGCATCTGCCTTCGGCTCAGGTCATGATCCCAGGGTCCTGGGATGGAGCCCAAAGTCAGACTCCAAGCTCAGCGGGGAGCCTGCTTCTCCCTCTCCCCTCTGCTTGTGCTATCTCTCTCGCGCTATCTCTCTCAAATAAATAAATAAAATCTTTAAAAAACAAAAACCTGGCTCCCTCCTGAGGACACTGATCTCTCCAGTCTCTTCCTACAGCCCTTAGGCCATCTGACCTGGGGTTGGGGTAGGTGTTCTCTTTGTTCCACTTCTCTGTTTCCAGATTCATTGTTCCTCCTATCCACTCTTAAAATATTCCAATTCTAATCTCATTTCAGCTAATTATTTAGCTAAGTGGCACATACATATATACACCCCTCATTACTATTGTTGTCTATGAAGCACCACTCACTCACTTCCCCTCCTGGCTCAATGTCACACTCCCCAGGATCTACTGACTCTTGGTCATTTCCATATACACATCATAGGTGATTCTTCCAACAACCTGGCCTCTCAGTTCCTTGACCTCTTCCACTGATCTTGTCTTCCATTCTATGTCAGCCACTCACTCCCCATAGTCCCAAAAATACACTTGACCCTGCCATTACCTATGACTGTGCTTCTTCCATAATCTTAGTTTCATGCATGATATGCTCTGACTACCACCTCCTATCTTTCAAGATCACTTGCCCTATTGCAGCTCCCACCAGAAACCTCCAATGCACTGAACCTACTACCTTCTCACCATACCTCACTCCCCTGAGAACTTACTTTTCCTCATTACTTAACTAAAATTCCATCGTCAACAATTTTAATCTTATATAGATCCTCACTTCTCTTGCCTCTTTCTTACTTTATTGAACTCATTTGTCAAAACTACAATTCCCCCCCCAAGTTAAATTCAACTCTCCACCCACTCTACACTTGTATCTCTCTAAGGATGAAATTAAGTGCTGAAAACACACAATCATGTTAATTGGTTCATTTTTAAATACCTGACCACAAATCTCACTGCTACATTTCTCAACTTCATTTACTCTCCCACTTTGCTAGTTAAGTATTTCACACCCTCCTCTCTTCAAACTTCTAACACCTCCCACCTCCACACTCATACTCAGCTGATGGCTCTGCTTCCTATTTTATTGAAACAAATGAAAGAAATCAAAAAAGAACGTTAGACTCCTGCCACCACATCTACCCACCCACCAGCATCTGGACTTGTACTGAATTATTTATCATCCCACCCAGACCTAGTCCTTCCCATTTTCCCTTCCGTACCCACTCAAGGACATCCCTCAAGTGATTCTCTCCCCTCTCCTTTATCACTACTTTCCCTTCTTTTTCACTGGGTCACTCATATCATGCTATTATTTTGCCCTCTTACAAAATCCTTCCCTTGACTCTTCTTGCCCCCGTGAGCTATCCTCAGTCTTTTTTTTTATAGACCCCTTAATGTTGGAGGGCACCCGAACTCAGCCCTTCATTCTATCGTCTGTTTGTACATTCACTCCCTTTGTAAAGACTCATGCTTTAAAGCAGCCTACATTTACATTTTCAACTTACCTTTCAATTCAAGGTTTATATATGCTACTGCCAATTCCATGTCTCCATCTGGATGTCCAACAGACCTCTTATGCTTAATAAGATGAAATCTAAATTTCTTCTCTCCGTCTACCAAAATAATTTACCCCACCTGCAGCAGTCCCCATCTTTGTTGCCACAGCTCCAACCTTTAATTCTCAGGCCAAATACCTTGGAGTCATCCTTGACTTCTGTCTTAATTTCATGCCTCTTCCCTACCCCATAGCCTATCTATCAGGAAAACCTCATGGCTCTGCCTTCCACTTCTAACTGACTCCAGTGCTACTAGCCTAGTCTGGATTTCTCTTTTCTTTTGACTGGACAAACTGGTGTCCCCAATTCCACTCTTGCATCCCCCTTACTCCCAAGGGTAGTCTCAAGAGAACGGCCAGAGCAATTCTTTTAAATATTACAGCATGTCAATCCTCTGCCCCAAATCATTCTGTGGCTTCCCATCTCTCACTCTGAGTAAAAGACCAAGTCCTCAAAACGACCTATAAAGCTGTACACAATCTCTTCTCTGCCCTCCTCTCTTCCTCTTTCCCAGGCTCAGTCAGTTGCAGCCACACTGGTCTCTTTAATGTTCATCAAGTACACTTGTCATCCTCCTACCTCAGGCCTTTGCACTGTTTTCTTTGTTTAAATGTTCTTCCCTGGGCATCTGTGCTGTTGATTTCTTCATCTCCTACAAGTTTTGTCCCAAATATCACCTTTTCAAGGAGGCCCACCCTGACCACCTATTAAAATTATTACTCACCTACACTTCACACTTTTGATCCTCCTAACTCTGCTGTATTTTTTTCTCCCTGTACTCATGATATACTATATACTTTATTAATTATATTTATTGTTTATGTCCCCAAACTAGAATGCAAGCTTCATGAGGACAGGAACCCTATTCTCTGAATTATCCCAAATGTCTAGAATAGAGTCGAGCACAAAACGTGTACTCAAGTATTTGATACAGGTATTAAAAAATAAATGTGTTCTTAGAAAGAGCTCATGACCAGGCGGGGTAAGGGAGTGACAAGAGATCTTAGACAACATCCGATCCAGTAGTTTTCCTATATATTTTTTTCTATTTGACAACAGAACTGTATGATTTTTTTCAAGCAAAATCAAAATATATCCTAACTGTAAAGCAGATAAACACTATAAATGAATCCATAGAGTTTGAAGTCTTTTGCTGTTCTACTAAAAAAAACCCAAACACACAAACAACAACAAAAACATTTTTTTTCCTCAGAGGCCCTTCCTCAGAGCCCTAAATTTTCTTTGAGGACTATCTCATTGTAGAGATGTGAAGGCCTAGAGGGCCTAGAGGTTACATGACTTTCCCAGTGGTACACAGCCAGTAACTAACACAGGCACAGGCAACTTTCCCAATTATGTTACTGGGCTTACGTTTCTATAGCTTTCTGCACTGCTTCTTCCTACACATTGATAGAAGAAACAAAGAATGCAGGGGACAAAACTCAGGAAGACTGCATTTATGGCTGCTTGATTTTTCCCTCCTTCTCACTGAGGTGTCTGTTATCCGTTTTCCTTAGGCTGACACAGGCAAGAACTTAGTCACCCTCCCCAACACAACTGCCACTGCAATTCTGTGCAGTGACGAGACCATCTGGCTGGAGCCTGAGGTTCTCTTTTCAGGGCCTCGCCAAGGTGAGATGATTTAGAGAGGGAACAAACTGTTCCATTCAGAGATTAACTGAGTTTTCCTAAGCATGTCCTCTATTTTGCAGCATTCGAGTTTCCTCAAATCAATTATCAGAAGTATGGCGGGAAACCTTACACGTACGCCTATGGACTTGGCTTGAATCACTTTGTTCCAGACAGGGTAATTAATCCATCTTACCTAATCCTAGAAAAGTAGTTTGAGTCATATACTAGTCAAGTGAAGCACATCGACTGATTAATTGATTGATTTTTCTTTCTCACAAGCAGCTCTGTAAGCTGAATGTTAAAACTAAAGAAACATGGGTATGGCAAGAGCCTGATTCATATCCATCAGAACCCATCTTTGTTTCTCACCCAGATGCCTTGGAGGAAGATGATGGTAATGAAAGCAATGGATGTGTCTCAACACTTTCTTTTTATTGGAGTTCTATATGCTAGTGCCTTAGGAGTCACAGTGATTACTCCCTAATGTTCAGATATGATCCTTAATACTACTGAATTTAATGCAGCATGGAAGAATTTAAACTTATTAGAAAATAAGTTTCATCTTGTGGCCAATCTCATTGATTACTCATGGAAAAATGTTGAAGTACCATCTGGTGTCATATGGAACATCCATGTCTGCTCTAGATGAAAGAGGGAAGGATGAAGAAAGAACAGCATGAATTCTAGGTTTTTACCTTCCTGACCTAGATAAATTTCTGAAAAAGGATAAAGTTCGAAGGAGAAAAACTGAGTATTCTATCAGATCAAAGAGAATGAGAATGAGGCTTTGTGTCTCTGCTTTGGGTTTCTTCTTTTAGTAAGCTGGAGCTACAGCCTATAACACAGTGACTCAATGACAAAACATTAGTCTTTGTTAACTATTGATTAGCTGGGACAGGAAGGTAGGTTACACTCTCTGGGATTAAAATATGGAAAACCACAGAGAAATGAGTATAATAAAGAATTATGGAGCCATTTCATGCTGAACAATTTTACATATACAGCCCATCCAGACAAAACTGCAAAAGGTTTGCTCTCACTTTGTTGTAAGGAAGTAAGCTTCTAGCTAGGTCTTGGAGAGTACAGAAATCATATACCTTATTGTTTTCAAAGTCTTTTAATATATATAAATCTCATGTGATTGTCACAACTTTTTTTTTTTTGCAGTAGGTTATGTTAAATCTTATGTTACAGACAAGAGCACAGATCATTCATCAATAAGAATTTAATGAACACCTACTATGTCCTAGTAATTGTAGTAGCTATTGAGATACAACAGTGGACAAGACAAATATGGTCACTCCCTTCCTGGAGCTTATAGTCTAGGGAACATAAAGAGTTTGAAAGATCCCTTCAGGCTGATGACACAGCCAGATGGTGGAAGAGTCAGAACAAGATTCCAAGTCATATGGTTTTCTTTATTTGTCAATATAATACCTCCTATATTTTTTCAGTGACATTTAATCTATGGTCCTGGGCTTTTTTTTTTTTTTTCTTTTAATCTAACATTGCCTTACTTACTTTTGATTAACAGGTGTAGTTCTGAGTGTGGTGGTGAGCCCTGGGGCAGGACAAAAGCCTGCATATCTTCTGATTCTGAATGCCAAGGACTTGAGTGAAGTTGCCAGGGCTGAAGTGGAGATTAACATCCCTGTCACCTTTCATGGACTGTTCAAAAAATCCTGAGCACATTCTATCTAGCACATTGTATTTCTATTGACAAAACCAAGAAAAACAGTCAGGTCTGCAATCAAATTCTGTTCAATTTTAGCCTGCTGTATTACATGGTTTTAACTTGCAGATGCACACAATTTTGCAATATTTTACAGAAAGCACAGAGTTGAGCAAGCAATTACTTTAAAAAAAAAAGCAGCATATATTTAGATAATCATACTTTCTCTGTGAGACAGGCAGACCATAACTAAAAACTCTTTATATATTTAGCAATCAAATAGAAAATGAATGTGGATTTATTAAGCTTTTTTGTTCCTATTGTAAAAGTATATTTTAGGTACCCATCTTCTCCAGTTATTTTTTAACATTTAAAAGCCAAAGTTCTCTACACCTGATTTGTATGTGGCTTTGTTGAGGCAAGGCAGTATCATGCAAAAAGGCTTAATTACTAAATGTCAGACCAAACTTTTTCACAAACCAAGGACTATCATCTAAGAGTAATCCTAGTAATAAGTACGTGTGTATGTATATTACTGTTCCAAGATTCTCAAGCTTTATGAACTTTAACATTTCCATTTAATATAGGCAATTACTGATTGTTTCTGATTTTACAATAAGAAAGCCTATCTCTAATTGACTGACAGCTCTAACCAAATAACATCACAGAGACTAAGTTATCTATTAAAAGCTTATATAACATCAAAGCAATTACATATAGTAGTGACTATAATTTTTGAAATACTTACAAATATAATTTCTACTTAAAATCAGAGTATAAGATAATGTCAGGAGGTTATACTATGTTGCCTCATGTTTAATTATATTTAAGCACTGTGCAATCAGCTGACCTAAGCAAAAGACAAAGAAAGAGAAAAAGAGATAATATTAAAATTAACATTCAGATATTAATACATTTAAGTACTTTTATTTTTAAAATTATTCTCTTATTGCTACATGTTGCAAAAAATGGAGATTGACAAAAATTATATTATATATCTTAATCCTGGTATGTATTTTATGCTAAGAAGTTTTACATATCATTGTACTTAAGATAATCAGCATTGTGTTTGACTAAGTAAGAATAGCTTGAAGGAACAGACTGACTAGGGTACTTGATGCATCCTTTTGATTTCTTTATTTAGATAAAATGCAAACTCATTTTTAAAATTATAAATACTCATTGAAACATACTTCTCAAAGAAAATTTAAAATTACAGAAAAGTAGAAATTATAACGTAAAATCATACAGAGCTCATCTAAGCTCAACTACTATTAAGATTGGGTACTATTCTTTTCCATCTTTTTCCCTCCTTTGGATTTTAATGTAATCATTCTTTCATTGTGGCTAGTTCCTAGCTAAACATAGAAATTTCACAAAAGAAAAGAAGATGCCAGAAAATAACATGGCATGTGTGACTGTAGATAAACATCAGCCTGTTAATTTTTGTCTCTAGACATGGCACATGAACATAATTCCACAAGGAAAGCTATTTACCCATTTCTTTTAAAAGTGCAGGAAATAAATTACTGAATAATTACCAAGTTTTGTGCTTAATAAAATCTCCCGATTTAGGAGAATTCCTAAAGCTGCCCCTTCCTATATTTGCCAGTCACTCCCTTGCCTTATTCCCATTCATTTTCCATGAAACAAGTCTTGCAATTTGGTGTGCCCACCTCTCCTCCTTTTGCAGGATCCCATCGTGAGCACTGTGCTCTGTAGAGATCACCAGTGTTTGTTAAGATAGGAGAGAGGCAGATCTAACTAAAGTAACATCCTGCCAAAACCATTTCACCAAAATTGGAATTCTCTATATAGTCATTGCTAATATTATGCCAAGAAGGTTAAGGACCTGCCTTTTAAGACAAAAATGGAAGACGGGCTTTAAAATTTTTAATTAGAACAAGGGAGGTTTAAGTCAGGCAAGAGGGACTAACTTGGAAATTCAGATTGAAAAATTAAGGAAACTGCTTTCTAAGAAACTTAGTTTCTAAGAACTAAGAGCTACCCATTTGGAGGATCTAGAGAACCACATCTCATCTACAAACAAATAAATCTGTTTTAAGGAAAAAATTCAATTGAATTAAGACGAATAAACCTGTTGCTAAGTAGTTATTTTTAAAATAACAAGTTGTGGGGTGCCTGGGTGGTGCAGTTGGCTAAGCGTCTGCCTTCGGCTCAGGTCATGGTCTCAGGGTCCTGGGATCGAGTCCCACTTCAGGCTCCCTGCTCAGCGGAGAGTCTGCTTCTCCCTCTCCCTCCATCCCTCACCACTGCTTGTGCTCTCTCTCTCTCCCTCTTCTCTCTCTCTCTAATAAATAAATAAAATCTTTAAAATAAAATAAAAATAACAAGTTGTTTGAGACCTTTGTTTTTTCCATTTTTATCATCTTATTTTTTTTATTTTATAATGTTATGTTAATCACCATACACTACATCATCACTACATCATCTTACTTTTTTAACTATTTTTTAAAGATTTTATTTATTTAATTGACAGAGACACAGCGAGAGAGGGAACACAAGCAGAGGGAGTGGGAGAGGGAGAAGCAGGCTTCCCGCAGAGCAGGGAACCCAATGTGGGGCTCGATCCCAGGATCCTGGGATCATGACCTGAGCCGAAGGCAGACACTTAACAACTGAGCCACCCAGGCACCCCTCATCTTATATTTGTCATATCCAAGTCAATAAAACTTTTGAAAATATCATCAAGGGGCGCCTGGGTGGCTCAGTCGCTAAGCGTCTGCCTTTGGCTCAGGTCATGATCCCAGGGTCCTGGGATCGAGCCCCACATCGGACTCCCTGCTCTGCGGGGAGCCTGCTTCTCTCTCTCCCACTCTCCCTGCTTGTGTTCCCTCTCTCACTGTGTCTCTCTCTGTCAAAAAAATAAATAAAATCTTTATAAAATCTTTAAAAAAAAAAGAAAATATCATCAAAGGCTAATTAAAAACTGATAACTATCTTATGGCAGACAATCTAGACAGAGTCCCTATGCTATATTCTAAACCAAAAAATACCAATAGACAACGAAGGCAGCCTACTTTCCAAGAATTCTGTGACAATGTTATTCCATCATTGCACAGTCTGGCTAAAGAATAAAATGCAGTGCTTTCTCCCATAAACTTGATAGGAAGTATATTGATGACTAAGTATTATAGAGAAAATATGCCCTTAAGGAATCCCTGAAGAACATCCCAGAGGAACACCAAATCTGGTAAAATTCAGCCTCAGTGGGAAAACAATCTCTGAAAGACAGGAAGAAAGGAAACCCACTCTGACCGCCTTTCACTTTTAGAGAAAAGTGAAAGCCACCGCTAATGCTCTACCCATCATGGTACTATCTGCACCATTTTAAAGATGAGGAAAGGGAGGCCAAGGTACTTTTTTAATGAGAAGCAAAACTTAAACTAAAATCGAAACCTAACAGTTCCCCTTGAAAATTTGGTTTCTGATACCTTCTGAAATATTCCTACTAATCGGAAAATTTTATTTCAAATACAACCACTATCATACTACTTAGTCATCAAGTCTGGGTACAAATAAAATCTTTGGTCAGTAAGTCTTACCATTGATTAGTAGGCCAAGATATTTCTTAAATAATAGTGACATATACCAAGTATTCATTATGCCAGGGATTCTACTAATCAATCTCTATAAAATCCTATGTGTAGACTTGATAATCCTATGTTGCCGGTGAGGAAAGTGAAGCTCAACAATGTTAAATATCTTGGCCAAGTTGCCACACAGAATGGTGATCTAATTCCATATTCTATCTTTATCTGTCAGACACAGTGAACAGTATACTACCTACACAATTTCAACATTACATTACTACATTCTTTTGGATGATATCCAAAAAGTAGACATGCAGGAAATATTTCCCAATTCATTCAGAGGCCATTATTACCCTGATAGCAATTCTGCACAAAAACATCACAAGAAAACTACAGACCAATATCACTTATGAATGTATGAGAAAAAAATGATCAATAAAATATTAGCAAACCATATTCAACAGTTTATAAAAAAGACTGTATCAAGTGGGATTTATCCTAAAAATTCAAGGTTGGTTTAACAACCAAAAATCAATAAATGTGGGTGGTTGGCCTGGGTGGCTCAGTCGGTTAAGCATCCAATTCTTGATTTTGGCTCAGGTCGCGATCTCAGGGTCATGAGATCAAGGCCCATATCAGGCTCTGCACTGGGTGTGGAGCCTGCTTAAGATTCTCTCTCTCCCTCTACCCCTCCCTACCCCGCCACTACCACTCATACATGCACACACACTGTCTCTCTCTAAAAAAAAAACAAAAGCAAAAACAATCAATAAACGTAATGCACCATATTAAGAGAGTAAAGGACAAAACCACATGATCATCTCAGTAGATGCAGACAAAGCATTTTAAAACATTTAACAACTATTCATGGGGAAGAAAAGAAAAAAAAATATTACAAATAAAAAGGAATTTGTTCATCCAAATAAAGAGTATCTACGAAAAGTCCACAGTTCCCATTATACTTTATTATGAAATATTGAATTTTGCCCCCCAAGATCAGGAACAAAAGAAAGATGCCTCTTCTCCCCACTACTCTTCAGCATTGTACTGGAGCTTTCAGCCATAGCAGTTAGACAAGGAAAAGAAATAAAACATAAAAGGAAGAATCAAACTGCCTTTATTCACAGATGACATGATTTTGCATAAAAAACTATTAGAATTCACATCAAAAACTATTAGAACTAATAAACAGTTCTGCAAAGGTGCAGGATAAAAGATCAATATACAAAAATTAGTTGTATTTCTGTACACTATTCAAAATAAAGACAGCAATCCATTTACAAAAGTGTCAAAAAGAATAAAATAGGGCACCTGGGTGGCTCAGTTGGTTAAGCGACTGCCTTCGGCTCAGGTCATGATCCTGGAGTCCCAGGATCGAGTCCCGCATCAGGCTCCCTGCTCATCAGGGAGTCTGCTTCTCCCTCTGACCCTCCCCCTTCTCATACTGTCTCTCTCTTCCAAATAAATAAATAAAATCTCTAAAAAAAAAGAATAAAATATTTAGAAATGAACTTAATAGAACAGTTTCAAGACTTTTACACGGAAACTACAAAATACAG